GGACGTTTAACTGTTCATGTTTGGAAAAAAACGTGAGTTACCAATCAAATCTTAATTACAACTTTGTCTATGTATAAACTTTTGGTTTACACGTACATATCAATTCATAACTTAACACATCACATGATTACTTGCAGGCTAATGCCACCAGGCCCTTGTGCACACTTTATTAGTCAGTCCTTTAAACAAAGAGTAGATCCAGAAGGGTACGCTTGGGCAAAAGTAAGCAAAGAAATGTGCGAATTATATTGGGAGGAGTTTCAGGTAATTAACTATATGTGATAAATTGTTGTTTGGTAAACATTTACACCTAAACTTATGTTTATATTGTTAATGTGTAGAAAAAATGTTGTTGGGATGAAACAATAGACTCTGTGGTGAGGCAAGCTTGGGCAAGGAAAGCGGCATAAAGTTATGGTCAATATATCTTCAACATGAGGATCCCAAAAAGAAACAAACATGGCTTTAAACCAGCTCATATTCCACAGGAAGTCTGGAACTCCTGGAAATTAAAATGGAATACAGAAGAATACAAACTAAAATCTGAGCAGAACAAGAAAAATAGGCGTAACGGTATGGCTGATGGAGTAGCAAAACCTACACATAACGTTGGATCCGCAAGTCATTTAAAGATAGCTTCTGATTTGGTAATTTTTTAAATGGTACTTCGTATCAATGTTTGTATATGTTTATCTGTATATATTTGACATTTTATATGATATTTAAGCAGAAGAGGAAATTAGGACATGAGCCACCCCATAGTGAATTGTTCCTGTATACACACACGAAGAATCACGATGGAGTCACTTTCACAAATGAAAAAGATAGAGGAATACATGTAATATTCATTTCAGTTTAAACTTTTATATTGTAGCTACTCCATAATATCATTCCTAAATTTGATATCTTTTAACTTATAATATTTTTATTTTGTAGGCGGCCTATACAGAAAAACGGGAAGAGTTAGAAGCTGAAGGTGTTGAATTTGAGGAGGACAAGCTATTTTATGCTGTTGTTGGTGGTCATGATAAAAAAAAAGAAGACTTTATGGATTATGCTCTTTTGCAAAGGCGGTTCCCAATAGGAATGGTAAAACGGATGTATCTTACATTCCGGAAAAAAAATGATGAAATAGAAGAAATGAGGGAGCTTGTTGGTAAACAAAAACAACAAAACGAAGAGCTTAAAGAAATGATGAACGCCCAACAAGAGGAAAACAAAGCAAAGGTCGGGCATCTTGAAAAACAACTTCAAATGGCATTGGATCTTATTAATGGCTTTACAAAACAACAAGAGTAGTAGGTTGATATATGTTTATTGCAGATTATGTATTTTAGAGTAGCAAATTTCTTTTTTCCATGTAATAAATAATTATTTTATTATTTTATGATATAATGGTTATGATTTTTTTGTTTTTTTGTTTTTCATATATTACTACAAAATTATTTGGATATAATTTATAAATCAATTATCCATCGGTCCATATGGAATTTGGTATATAATATACACCACTAAAATTGCGAGGGATTCATGACCACGGAATTTGCTAGGAAGTCATCAAACGGAATTTGCTAGGGATTCATGACCACTGAATTCGCTAGGAAATCATCAAACGGAATTTGCTAGGGATTCAGCACGACGGAATTTGCTATGGAATCACCGCCACTGAATTTACTAGGGAATGACCACCATGGAATTTACTAGGGAATGACCACCACGGAATTTACTAGAGAATCCCCACCACAGAATTTGTTATGGATTCATCACCACGGAATTTGCTAGGGAAAGACCACCACGGAATTTGTTAGGGAATCACCCCCACAGAATTTGCTAGGGAATCACCACCACGAAATTTGCTAGGGAATCACCACCACGGAATTTGTGATGGAATAACTACCACGGATTGTGCGATGGAATCCTACTACGGAATACATGACGGAATACCACCTACCACAGATTTCATTCCGTTGTCACATTTGTGACGAAATTATCTTTTCCGTTGTAAATCCTCGCTACAGCGTTTTTAGGGACGGAAATAGGTCGTTGCAAATTCCGTCGCTATTCGTCTTTTGCAACGGAATTTCAGCTTTTCGCAACGGATTCCTTCCATAGAAAAAACGCATTTTTCTTTTAGTGTAAAGAGCTTAATGGGTTACGTTGGCAACTTAACCCTAATAAGTATGAAAGTGATATTTTATTTGAAAATCCTTAACTATGAACCCTCATTAAGCCAAACATTAAGGCCCTTAGGTTAAATTGAATTTCACATCTCTATAGCCTAACAAGTAACCAACAATCATGTTAAAAGTGATAAACTTAAGGCTTAACCATTAATTCCTTAATAGAACACCAAAAATGATTTAGAAGATATTATGATTAATTTTCCCAACTCTGTCCTCCAACTTCTAAAATCCGTGCAAGTCAATACGAACATCTAAAAATCATGAGACTTATTTTTCTGGAAATATTAGTGTCTATACTTTCTTCAAACTTTGAATCATATTTCCAAATTCGAACTCCTTGAGGGGTAAAATTGGCAATATTCTCAGGCTGGTCCATGCTGTCACAGATTTCATGCACTGTCTTCAAAAAATCATAATAAATTCATATGAACTCCAAATGCCAAAATTCCAAAGCCTATAGTTAGATATGGATGTATAGTTTCCAAAATATAAAGGGACAGATGTAATTCTTAGTAGATTGATACAGTTTATTCTAAGAGTGTTGAGTGGTCGAAAAAATCACAGCTAAAAGTTACAAACTTGTAAATTTAATATAAAATAAGCCAAAAATCATTAGAACGAGATCTTTATATTTCTGAAAAGATAAAAGGGGGAACTTTACCAATTTAATTTTATCAAAATTTAAAAATGTGTTGAAAGGTAAGAAAACATATCCCAAACAGAGGACTACAATCAAAGAGAAAATAAGAAAATATGTACATAAGTTTTATAAGATTAATACAACAAACAGAAGCTAAATAATGTTATAATTTTTGTGTAGGTTCTCAGAAAGGAAAGGATCCATCTTTCTCATGCTAGCTAATTTTCAAGATCAAGGAGGTGAGTACTAACTCTCCTATTATGTAGGCATTACTTGTTTTTATTTTATTGTTCACAGATACCCTAATAACATGTGATTATGTGTATCTAATCACATATGATTTATGTGGCTAAGATTCTTTTCGCGTTCTCGATTCAATAATTGTTTTTTTTTCCATTTTAATGATATTTGATTAAATACATTTAAACAGATGTGATTATATGTTTCTAATCACATATGATTTTATTTGGAAAAAAACAAATCTTGTCTATTTAAATCATATGTGATTAAATACATACAATCACATGTAATTATATACACAATAACAAATATTAAACCAAGAACACGAAAACAAATCTTTATCCAAATTAATCATATGTGATTAAATACATATAATCACATGTGATTATATGAATCTAATCACATATGATTTATGTGGACATAATTCATTTTTGCTTTGTCGATTCAATAGTTGTTCTCATGTATTTTATCACATGTGATTATATGTATAATCGTATGTGATTAAATATATGAGCACAACTATTGAATCGAGAAGGAAAAAATAAATCTTGTCCACATCAAATCATATGTGATTATATACATATAATCACATGTGATTAATTACACAAAAGCAATTATTCAGTCGAAACCGCAAAAATAAATATTGTCTACATAAATCATATTTGATTAAATACATATAATTACTTGTGATTATATGTATCCAATCATATATGATTTATGTGGATGAGATTCATTGTCACATTCTCGATTCAATAATTGTTCTTTGTCCACTGTAGTCATATGTGATTAAATACATATAATCATATGTGATTATATGTATCTAGTCACATATGATTTATACGGACAAAAAATAATGATGTCTATATAAATCATATGTGATTAGATCATACATGTAATCACACATATTAATCACACAAGAAAATATTGAATCGAGAAACATAAATTAATGTCTACATATACATCATAATCACATGTGATTATATGTATCTAATCACAAGAATTTATGTGGAAAATATTTATTTTCGCGTTCTCGATTCAGTTGTTGTTCTTGTGTTCTTAATTACATGAGATTATGTGTATCAAATTAGATATGATTTATATGGAAAATATTCATTTTCACATTCTTGTTCAATAGTTGTTCTTGTACATTTAGTCACATATGATTTCTGTACACAAGATTCATTTTCGTGTTTTTGATTAAATAGTTTTTCTTTTTCCACATTAATCATATGTGATTAATACATAAAATCACAAATGATTAAATACATAAGAAAAAATATTGAATCATGAATATTATCAATATAAATCATATGCGATTTGATACATATAATCAGATGTGATTAAGTACATGAGTACAACTATTGAATTGAGAAAGAAATAATGAATCTTGTCCACATAAATCATATGTGATTAAATACATATAATCACATGTGATTAAATATATTAGAACAATTATTGAATCGACGCAAGAAAAAATATTTTCCATACGAATCATATGTGATTAAATAAATATTATCGCATGTGATTAAATACACAAGAACAACTATTGAATCAACACGTGAAAACAAATATTGTCCATGTAAATCATATGTGATTAAATACATATAAGCACATGTGATTTAATACACGATGCCAACTATTAAATCGAAAACACGAAAATAAATACGGCGCACGTAAATAATATTTTATTAAATACATATAATCACGTGTAATTATATGTATCTAATCACATATGATTTACGTACACAATATTCATTTTTGTATTCTCGATTCACTAGTTTTTCACGTGTATATAATCACATGTGATTATATGTATTTAATAACATATTAATCATATATGATTCGATATATATAGTCACATGTGACTCGATACATATAATCACATGTGATTATATACACGAGAAAAACTAATGAATTAAAAACACAATAACAAATCTTTATAGGTGGGGGTGGGGGTGGTGGCAGCAGGTGGTGGAGGACGGGTGGTGGTGGTGTGTGGTGATGGGTGGTGGTGGGTGGGTGGGTGGTTGCAAGTGGTGGTGATAGTGATGGGTGGTGGTTTTGGTGGGTGATGGGTGGATGTGGGTGGTGGTGGCGGGTAGTGCTGGGTGGGTGGTGATAGGTGGTGGGTAGTGATGGGTGGTGGGTGGTGGTGGGTAGTGATGGGTGGTGGTGGCGGTGGTGGTGGGGGTGGTGGGTGGGGGGTGGTGGTGGGTGGTGGGTAGTGATGGGTGGTGGGTAGTGGTTGGTGGTGGTGGGTAGTTATGGGTGGTGGTGATGGGTGGTAGGTAGTGGTTGTTGGTGGTGGTGGCGGGCGGTGGTGATAGGTGGTGGAGGCGGGTGGTGGCAGCGGGTGGTGGTGGTTGGGTGGTGATGGTGGTGGGTGATGGGGGTGATGGTGGCGGGTGGTGGTTCTTGGCGGTGGTGGGTAATGATGGGTGGTGGTTGGTGGTGGTGGTTAGTGATGGGTGGTGGTGGTGGGTGGTGATGGGTGGTGGTGGTGGTGGGTGGTGGTGGCGGTGGCGGTGGTGGTGATGGGTGGTAGGTAGTAGTTGTGGGTGGTGGAGGTGGTTGGTGGTGGTAGGTGGTGGTCGTTGGGCGGTGATGGTGGTGGCTGGTGATGGTGGTGGCGGGTGGTGGTTGGTAGTGATGGGTGGTGGGTGGTGGTTGGTGGTGGTGGTTAGTGATGGGTGGTGGTGGTGGGTGGTGTTGGTTGGGTGGTGACTAGTGTTAGTTAGTGGGTTTTTTAATTGTTTGTAACTATTTTTTGATTTATATGAATGTTATTTTATAATTTTAATTAAAAACATTTGTGTGGTCCAAATTTGTTCTCAAATGTTCTCGCGATAAGAAATGTTATCGATTGAACGCTCCTATATATATATATATAGATATATATATATATATATAATATATATATATATATATATATATTATATATATATATATATATATCTATATATATATCATGGTTGTCAAAAGCGTGATCCTGATCGTAGGATCGTACGATCCTACGATCCGGATCGTAAATGGATCGTATCTAGGGTATGATCGCAGGTAGGATCGTAGGATCGAGATCCGATCCGATCCTACCTTCCCTTGATTTTTTTTTTTGTAAATGAAAATTATTTTGACAACTTTATGTCTTTTACCCTTTATCAATTTACCGTTTATCATTTTGTGTTGTGACTTATGACTACTATTTTGAAGTTTTTATAACTTTTGAATGAAAAATTAAATGTTTGAAATATTTTTCATGTTTAAAAATAATAAATTAAAATTATATTATATTTTGTGGGATCTTAGGATCCCGATCCCGATCTTGCAAATCCAAAAACAATCTATGTAGGATCCCGATCTTGACAGCCTTGATATATATATATATATATATATATATATATATATATATATATATATATATATATATATATAGATATATATATATATATATATATATATATATATATAGGGAATGATTCAAATGAGAACTCAAAAAGGTTAAGAATCTTAAGAACCATTTTTTTTAAAATGTTTTTATTAAGGACATTTCAAACAAATCAACCATTAATATTATATTAAGCAAAAAAATTTATTCGTTAGTTACAGTTAGTTGCCACTTGTTGGATCGCCGTCAAACCACCGTCGGATCGCCGTTGGACTACCGTCGGACCGTTATCGAACTAACACCAAATTAAATGATAATTTTCTGGTTATATTCACAGGTTAATAGAACAAGCATTGTAACTTTTTATTTCTTTGGTAATACTTTTTAATAAATATATTTTCATTTTTGCAGCCAAATATACAAAATTTTAATAAAATAAATAGAATTATGCATTGATAAATTAAATTTTTATTTTTTTAAATTGTAAATTTGTTTACAAATTTTGTTTACATAAGATAGATTCACAATTTTAAATACCATAATCACAGTTTAATAAACATATTAATTCAGTAATACACAATTTAATATTTTCATGCATACCTTCATTTATATTTGAACACAAAATTTATATAATATATACAACTTAATACAGTCCATTTTTAGTTTAGTACATAAAGTTCATAACATAATCACTAATTTATATATTTAAAGAAGTCAAACCCAAACTTTACCACCACCCACTACCACAACCATCACTAACCACATGTGATATCGTCACAATCATCATTCCTTCCGAATAAGATCTGTATATATAAAATCATTAAATGATAGCTCAAATACATTATTCACAATTTAATAACCAATTAATTCTCTTATTTAGAGTTTAATACAAAATAATTATAAAAAACTAATTCATTCTTACATATTTGTACAACACAAAAAATAAATATATTAACAAGAAAATTAATACAAACATTCTTAAATAAATCATTCATATTTTAAGATAAAACTCATTAAAAAATTTACATCTTAATATAGTCAATTCACAGCTTAAACAAAAAATTCACAGCTTAATGCAGTCAATTCACAGTTTAAAACACAAAATCACGATTAAGTACATAAAATTCACAACTTATTATAGTTAATTCATAGTTTAAATAGAAAATGCACAACTTAATGTAGGTAATATAGAGTTTAAACACACAAATATCACAGTTTAATACAATAAAATCACAATTAAATACACAAAACGTATAAATTCACAATTATATTATCAACTTAAAAGTTTTAATACAGTCAACTCATAGTGTAATACACAAACTTCACAGCTTAACACATTCACAGTTTAATACATGAAATTCATAGCTCAATATTGTCAATTTATAGAGTAAACATAAAATTTACAATTTAATGCAATCAATTTACAGTTTAAAACACAAAAATCACAGCTTAATACACTAAATTCACGGGTTAAGACAATAACTGAAACATTAAAACATAAAAATCACAACTTAAAAAAACTTAAATTAATAATTTTTTGAGATAAAACATTAACATAATAACACACATTCTAAACTCAAATCATAATATATAAAAGCATAAAACATAAGTTATGAATACCATTTTTAGGAAAATATTATAACAAATAAGAAAAAAATATGGATTCACAACTTAATATCAATAGATTCATAACTTAATATTTTAAGCAAATGTTATAACAAATAAGAAAACAAACTTCGATTCACAATTTAATAACAGTTACAACTAAGATTAACAAAAGCAAACAACAAATTAAAAATTTAAACATTAAATTCACATTTTAACAAAAAAACGATCAAAATAAAACTATTTTTTATCACGTGGATTAAAAGCGAAGCAAACCTTTTAGAATAAAGTGGCTAGTATATCGATATATTCTTGAAAAATCAACCTGATACATGTTTAATTAGTAATTCAAAAATTTTAAGATTTAAAATAGTTAAATTTTTAATGAAAAAAACAAATCATAAAAAAAAATAATAATAACTAAACATATAAGAAACAAAAGTAAATAAAATGTAAGATTCGTATGTCATCTAATTGATTAACAATGCTTTTATATTATACTTAGAGTAGGTCTTATATTGCAGGTCCTATATTTTCCTATATTGCAGTAATAGAAAGCAAAAGGCAAACACGTATCAAGCTATAACATGGCTAGTATCTATAGATGATAACACTCACAGAAAATTAAAAGAAAGCACTGAAATATTACCTGCATCTATTTCTCTAACATATAAATTGTTGTGGGTTTGGTTTCTTATTAACAACAGCACCGATGAACGACAATGAATTGCCTCCTTCTCCTGAAGCACATGAAGTTGCTTCTTCTCTGGCGAACAGTGGGCGGCGAGCGGCGCCAGTGGTGGTCGGAGATAAACAAGGTAGTTGTATGTAATCGGAGACGAAGCAGGTCTGAAAGGAGACGATAGCAGTGGATCACCGTCACTCGCCAGAGGTGGTAGAGTTTTCGATCACCAGAGCTCGTAGATTTGGCATCGCTACTCACCGGAGCTCTGAAATCTGGCCTCACACTCACCGACGCTTATAGATCTATCCGCAGCGCTCGTAGGAGCTCGTGATCTAGCCTAGCATATCATCGGTGGTCTTGTGGCCATCGTCGGTGGTGGCGATTAGCGACATAAGTCCACTGGTGCCAACTTAGATTCCGACGATCCGGTATAATATTAAAGCATTGTTAATCAATTAGATGACATACGAATCTTACATTTTACTTACTTTTGTTTCTTACATGTTTAGTTATTATTATTTTTTTTATGATTTGTTTTTTTCATTAAAAATTTAACTACTTTAAATCTTAAAATTTTTGAATTACTAATTATTAATAAGATATATACAATGACCGTGTTTTATATTCCAACATAACCTTAAATAGCGTCCCCATTTACATCTATAAAATCGTCAAAACAATACATATATACAACAAACGATCGAACTTTCAGTCCAACTCGACATGCCTAAGCCTATGACAATAAAAACAAGTAAACAAAAGAATAAAAAAAAAAAATATACATAACGATTATCAAGATCACCAGAAACGATAAACGGAAGAAAGAACACCCATAAAACAAACGGAAAAATGAAGTTGTTTGGGTTTTCAAGGACGAGCCATAGAAGCTGATTTACTTCAAAACTCAATCCGAATCTTGATTTATTTATGCTGTTGATTGTTTATCGATTCGCCTTGCCTTTTTTATATACTGTCTCTCTGTGATCTTCGTCCGCTGCTTTGATTTATCTAATGACTCGATAATGATGGGCACCAAATACCAACCAAGAGAAGTGCATAAGATCGCAAAAGACCGTCCAGTAAACATTAATAATACTAAGATCAAGATCAGAAACAAAGGGAAATAATAGGAAGGTTTCCACCCCTTTCCGAGCTTTCTTATCCATGGATAAAACATAATCTTCTTCTTAGGATCACCAAACAATGTTTTCACTATTTTACCTTCTTCGGATTCATTACCATTATCATTATGCCCTTTAACAAAAGCATCATCTTTTTGATGTTCCCTTTCTGGAGTACTCTCCAATGAGCTCGTGTTATCTTGTTTTCTTTTACCGCGTAACTTGACCACAATAGGTTTAACTTCATCGGGGCTTCTGTAAACGAACTTAACCATGGACACATCTTCAGACCCTTTCTGTGTCAAAATCTCCTGTCTTTTGTGACCAAGATCAGCTAAAAGTGCCTCAAATTTGTCAAGTCCACGATCTGCGTATGGGTTTGTTGGGTTTTTACTTCTTCGGCTGCCTCGGAAAACGAGTCCTCTTCTAGTTGGTTTTTTTGGACAAGTGGAAGGAAATGGCCAAAGCACATCGTAATCATCTTCTTCTTGGGTATGGGGAGAACCACAAATGAAAGCCATACTTAACCTTGTTCTAGTAAAATGGATTTGTGTGTGAGTATCGGGAGCTTTTAATTCCTGTGCAATGCGTGTTTTTGTGAATTATGAGAATCAAAGTGGTAGGGGGAGGAGTTGAGAATGTATATGAAGGGGTTGTCGTGAAGACTAAATCCAACTGCAAGAATAGTCAAAGGAGAAAGCTTTGACTTCTAAGGTTGAAGGAGAAGCTTTGCTGAACCTTCTAAAACTAAAAAAAATGTAGTTGGAATATTTCTTCGAACTTATCAAATACTTTCCTAGCCCATGTGATATTTTGGTCTTATTACTTCAATCCTAGTTAAATGCAAATATATACTCCAAAATGTTAATTATGCGTCCACAATCATTGTTTTTTCACAAAAACTTCTTATCTTAATATTATCTGACAAAAACATATTATTATAAGTATTATTCGACTATTAACCATTTTCTATTTTTCTAAAATTAATTTGTTAATCCTCCTTTTTATAAAATACTTTATAAAGGGCTTATATTCAAAGGGGGATAATTTCACAGAAGTCCAACAAACAAAGTCTTTGGTATAAAAATAGTCCCTATTTCAAATACGTAAGGGTTGGTTAGTTGACATCTAGTTGTCATTGAGTTCTTGAACCGACTGACTATAAGGATGGTGGTACACTGGAAGAGTTCATCCAAGTCATCCGGATGCGAAGAGTTCATGATTGCGAATAGAGGAGTTTCAATGAAGTAACACGTCAAAATGTCGCAGATCTTTCGTTCGAGGTATGAAAATATTTTTCCCATGTACCTCTTTTTTAATTTAATTGTATCCACAACGAGTCAAAGCGAATTCAAAAACCAAATTCCTATATATGTTTGAAAAAGTGCACGTGGTTAATCGGTGATATTGTTTTAACTTCAACAAATTGTGAAAAGCTTCACACGAATGTTCCGATTCTGCTCTATTTATTTTCCAACTAGTTTGCTGATGAACAAGAGATCAGACGATAATAACCGGTGATAATGTGGGTTTTTTGAAATCAGGTTGAGCTCAACTGTTAATTAGGCACTTAAAACACCGGAAACTGTCGTTTACAGTGATGAAACCAACCATCAAAAGTGATGAAGGGACACAGATTAATTCATTACCGTCGAAATTAAAATCGATTGCTAAAAAGCTCAATAGAAACTGTAAAGTGAATATTATGATCTTTGACGATAAAGAGTCGGCCACCGTCATTGGAAAGAGTAAAGCAACAAGAGCCCTTGGATTCGACTTAAGATCATCTCCATGGTTGTAACTACCGTGTGTCCATTTGTAACTTGTAAGTAATCGATCAAACATTAAAAAGCCCCCTCAATAGATGAGCTTGATTACTGCATATTCGTATTCACATCTTTATTCTAACAGTTGAGAATTGAGATCACAACACCTATAGTATGTTCGAGATTTACATCACCGTGGTTTTTATTTGGTTTGAAAGTATAGTAATCTCACATTTGAAAGACAAACTCCGTTGACTTTCACTATGTGTAATCACCACCCTCAAAGTAGTCTGATATATAGCCACGTCATTTTATTTTATTTTTTAATTTTTTTTTACCTATGAAGCCAACAAAAAAAAGTTTAACACTCTTTTTTAGTAGGTAACACTTTATGCCTTTAAAGTATTAAAAAAAAAACTAATGACATTTTAAACCAAAATTGTAGAATTTGTAGGGTTAAATTGACATTATTATTTTTTTAAGACAATGTATTTTTAAAAAAAAATAATGTTTAACAATAAAATTTATGATTTCAAGATACGAAAAGGATAATTATGTCAGATTGTTATAAAAAACCAAAAGATAATAAAATAATTATTATATATATGGATATAAAAAATACTACATGACCATAAGAAATTAATTTGTAATATAAGAGTTAAAATGCAATGCAATAATTATTAAAATAAGAGAAAATTGTATAAATGGTCCATGTAGTTTGCAAAAAACTTTAGGTTTGATTTAAAAAATCATGGACTTGCACAAATGGTCCAATGCATACACACACATACGATACACAATCATTAAATTTAAGACCCATCCACATCTCCTTCCCATACGAATCTCTAAATATGCAAGCAAATTTCATTCAAGAATACCCAATACCCACAATCAAATAGATGAAAATGAATATTCTCAAGAACATGGGAACATTAGGTGAAGATGATAATGGTGGTAATGGTGTTGTTGGCCGGTTCAGATGTTGGAGTTACGCGATCAAGATGTTGGGGAGTTAAAGACACTGACTGGTGATGTGTAGATGTAACACCCGACTTTTTAACACAAGTTACATCCAAAAGATTCACTTTTTAATTCATAAATCGTCTTGGTGTATACTTTAATTAACAACCTAATATAAGTAGTTATCAAAAGGATCATAATACAGACATAAAATAAAATGATCTGAGCTAGGCATTAATGCCTCTCTTCTATAATTCCTTGCTTCTTTAATGAGTTTACTTGAAAGGCATACAACAACCAAAATGGTAAGCTACAAAGAGCTTAGTGAGTAACCCTAACGACAATGCACAAAATAATTATAACATTAATTATAAGCATAATCTAACATAAACTTAATTAAACTATCCAAATGCCTTTCACAGGACCCAATATATACTCATATAGTGTATAATCATATAGATACACCAATCGTTAGGTGTACAGCTACTCGAGAAACGTTTATCAACTAATCCTTTTCATCTCCAATGTCATAATTGTCTAACGACTAGACATGGTTTACTGCTACTCAATCCACCATTAAATTCAACAATGGATTTACAGTTACACTAACTACTATTCTCTCTAAAAACAACAATAATGGACTTACAACTCCTCAAGCTACTAATTTCACTATTAAGAATAACAATGAACTTATATCTACACAAGCTACCATTATAATGTTACATGGTACTCGTTATGTGACTTTTTTGGAATCCTCAAGTATTACTACATTATAACATATATAACTCAAGACCTCAATTATATAGTGTCATTAAAGTCATTTTACTCGTTTGTACATTTCCATCAAATAACTTGTTATAGGACTCACGAAACATGTTGAGTATTGTCACAAGGAACTCATTATGTGACCTCAACTTTCTCGTTACTTGATACCACAAGGAACTCATTATGTGGTATAGTTTACTCGTTAGATAACATCACAACGAACTCGTTATGTGATGTATCTTACGCGATAACTTTAAACAACTATACACAATCTACGCTTTCTAATATTAACCTCAAGCTGTCGTCAACTAATAGTATTTCGTCTTTTATAAACCAAAGCCTTTAGTTATTTTCAATTAGTAGTATTTCTCCTACTACCAATCACGACCAATTAGAACATTTAACGCTTCTCAACTAATAGTGTTTTTCATACTATTAGCCACAACTTTCAGTTAAAATGTAACACCCCGTTTATTTAATAAATAAATAAATAAATTAATGAATGAATAGTAGCCCTAAAATAAATAATTATATAGCAAGGTGTTGGTCTCGAGGAGTTAATTGCGGCTATTTTAGAAGTTGGGGGTTAAAAGTGTAAGTTTCAGATTGATTTTGTAAGTATTTATGAAGGCAGGGACTAAATGGTAACTTCTGGGACTTCATTGAAGTGATTTTGGGGCTAAAGGGCTGTTTGGTAAATTAGGGATCGAATTTGAAAGAAATTATGGAAGCAGGGGTGTAATTGGTAAATATTGTACCTAGATTGCAATGCATTTTTAATGCCAGGGTTCAAATGGTAAATTTTGGACCATGGTTGAAAAGAATTTATGGAGAAGGATTGTTTATGCCATTATGGCAATAAGATTTGAGGGCACAGGTATATAACGGTTTCATTGCCTAACCCTAACCCTAATAGAAGCAATCAACCGTCACCCCCTTATGTCTCCCACCGGCCACCACCTCCCTCTTCAATTCCGGCAGCCGCCATCATCGGAGTCGCCTAGCCGCCATCCTCACCTCACCCACCTCCGGCTCCGCCAGTCATTAAACCGCCACCATCGTGCCTTGATGTTGGCGACAACAAGAACTATCGACGAAGATATGAGCGCCGCTGCTATCTCTCCATCGCCATCCTTTTCTTCTTCTCGTTGCTTGTCGTCGTTCACAACCGCACTAGGCTGTTGCCAGTGCCGTGTTGACCACCGCCACGTCGGAACTCATCCCACAGCAGCCAGCCGCCGCCGCCACCACCGCCAGAACAACCTACATTTCAATTTTTCCGGTTTAGATTCACCACCGAGGGACCAGCAGCGGGGTTTGTTCACGTGAATGTGTGTCTCGGTGATCCTTAGAGACACGTGTGTGTGTGTGTGCCCGTGACCTGAAAGCTTGGAAAACCACCATGGCTGCCAACCATGGTGGCTGCCACCACGTACCACCACCGGCCACCACAAGGGTGGCTGTGTGTGTGTGTGTGTGTGTGTGTGTGTGTGTGTTTGTATTAGTGTGTGTGAGAGTTATTTTGGTTTTTGGGTTGTAAAATGTAACTAGAAAGAAGAATAATGAAAAGAAAATCAAACCACCACCGTGAGGTGGTGGCTGCCGCCTCCTGCCGCCACCGACCACCGTGTTGAGTGGCGGTGTGCTTAGTTTGTGTTTGGATTGCTTTTGGAGTGCTTAGACTCGATTGTACTAGAACCCTAATCACCGCCGTGAGCCGCCGTTGACCACCACTACCCACGGTGGTAGTGGGTGGCGCCCGACTAACGAAACCCTAATGGGCTTAGTGAAACCCTAATGGGCCTAATGCACACTAATGGATCTAAGGACTTGACTTTTGGGCTTATTGGGTTATGATTGGGTTGGAAACCCTAATTAGGGTTTAGAAAACCCTAATTTTTGGATATACGGGCCTTGGAGTTATCGGGACCCACATTTGGGCCATTGGAATGGAATTATGTATTAAGCCCAATCACACCATATGATTTATTTAGAAGAGTGATGGACTTAATGGATTAAGTCCTTAATGG